AGCCAGACACCTTGCTTGTTTGTAGGTGACCAAATACTTATTTTCCACCATGATTTGCAAATTCTTTAAAAATCAGACAATGTGATTTTCTGGATTTTTTTCCTCATTGTGTCTCTTAGTTGAGGTAATACCTATGATGAAAATTACAGGCCTCTCTCATCTTTTTAAGTGGGAGAACTTGCACAATTGGTGGCTGACTAAATACTTTTTTGCCCCACTGTATGCAGCATAGTGCAATTAAGAACACCCATATGTATAAGGGAAATCACTTATGGACTATCATACCCAGAAACACATCCAAATTGCACCCAAATACCCATATTCATAAATAAACATAAGGGCACTCCTGCTAAATCAGACTAGAAGTTTATTCTGTTTCACTTGATGCCTTTGGGAAATCCACAAACAGGATATTACTACTGATGCAGGTGACAATGCACTTTCCTATGTAATCTCCACTAATAATGGTTAGTTAGATTACAGTTCACAACAGAATTATTTGAATACCACTGTAGTCAGAAGAAAATTTAAGTTCCACTGTACCATTTCTTGATCTTCAGTAGCCCAGCAAGGATTTCTAACTCCAGCTGTTTATCAATAACAGCGACAAAATTACACCACCCTACCACTGCTGAAATGAAAGTGTCCAAGAACTATTGAATACTGGATCTTCTGGAAATACAATTCTAGATGTACAGCAAGCTCTGATTGATGGGATATCAAGGGTTTAGTTTTAAAAGTAACTGTAGATTTCCCAAGCCTGTTCATTATAGGTGTAGATGTTCTCAGTATTAAATACTGAACCTGTCTGAAGTTGTTTTCCTTAACTTGTAATTACTAGAAGAAATGTCAAAAAGAATGGAAGCCTTGGAAAATCGATTAAGATACTAATAAAATGTCCTTAGCAGCAATATGTTTGTTGGATATTTATACACAAGAGAATGTATCAAAGCTATGTAGGTATGTATGTCTCCCACAGAAAAGGAGAATTTATGACTCCAGTAATTTAGAGTACCATGTAATGTTGTATTTTTGCATTGACCACAGTACAGAAAAATTACAAACTGTTTATAAAACTGTTTTTTTCAATTGAGAAGCTATGTAAAATAATAAAATAGTGCTATAAAAAGACAAAGCCTGGAAGGCCAAATATTGTTTAGTCTTGGTTCTAATGCAGACTGGATGCAGTCAAGTGTTACAATGGTTTTCCTACACTTCTCATGTAACAATGTTAATATCTGCATTAATAGCAAATTATTATTTCTCTGTGCTTAGACCCTTCCTACAGCCAGCACTTATCTCCATAAGTAATTGATGATAGGGAAATTGGGGCGAAGTAACCAGCATATTTAGGGCACACTCTCTACATTCATATTAACCACTAGGTATTTATATTTGGGATGATGTTTTGGGAAACACATACAATGTATAAAATTTAATTTTATTGCTAGAATGACATACTTCAAAATGCTAAATGCCTTAGCTTTTTAAAAAATATCCTCAAACAGATATATCACAAGTATTCTAACAATGTTGACCATTAGATAATTGAAGGAATAGATAGCCATCACAAGGGGAAATTCATTCATTCCAGAATTAACATTTGCATTATTACTTCAGAACAAATGAACAAGTGCCTCAGCTCTGAATTATGCCAAAAATAAATAATGTCCAATCTTATATCCTCTTCCACCATCTATTATTTTGCTTTGTAAAACTTAAGCTATTCTGTTTGGTTTTTCTGCTTCTAAATAGAAGGCTGAATTTGCTTAACCATATCCCTAATTTACTGTTAACATGGGGGGGGGGAGTCCCCCAAATAAAAAAGTCTCCCTCGCTGATAAAAGAATCAGCATGAGACTCAAATGACTAAAGGCTGCTGCAAAGGATGAATTACTCTTTGAAATCTAGCAGTTGCTCAGATGGGCAGTTTCTTGCTGAATTCTTTCTACAATACTTACGGGACTTCTTTTTTCTCTCACTTCATCCCAGTTTTGTTCCCTTTTTCCCTCTTCCTAGCACACACACCCTTTCCTTTTACTGTACCTATCTCCAGCCTAGCATTTTTTTTTCTATGTTGCAGCAATAGCAGCTTCTACAAGGTGTTGCAGGTCTCCCAGCATTCTCAGAATCCTTTTTTCCACATTCAGTTTGGAACACTGCACAGCCCTAATTAGAAGATGGTTGTTCCTTCCTTTCTGCATTTATACAACTAAAGTGACTCTAGGTTGTTTCCAATCACAAAATTAACCATTCCTTTAAAACCCACTGCTGGTTTTCAGATGTTCTACACAACCTTAATATGCGTACATACGTACATAGACATTTATGGAGGAGGTGGTCCAAATTTGGTGGGGAAGCTGGGCACTGCAGAAGAGTTTGCGTTTATATATACTCTTTTCTGTCACCTCTCCCTTTCAGATGAATAGAGTACTTGATCAGCATAGCCAACATGTGACTATATTCTTTAATCCCACTGGGTCTTTAATTCCCAAATAGTTTATTTTCTTTCATTTTGACTTGTACCTTTACTATTTATTTTCTCCATCAATCTTTGCATACAACTTGTTGCGTCTGACTTATGAAAACTCATACCAACAGTAGATTTATAGCCAGTTTTATTACACAAAATTTAAAGTCTGTTAATTTTACTTCTCGCTGGTTTGTTCTGGCATGCTTCTAATGATGTCAGAGTCACCTGTTGGGGAAAATCATATTTCAGTATCAAAATTTCACAATCACTTTGTCATGTATGCTGTATTACAAAAATTGTCTTGATAACCTTATTTGAAGACATTATTCCCAATGTTAGATCATACTACAAAGTACAATAGGTGAATGTTACTTGCAGTTAAAAACCAGAACTAGGGAGACAAACTAGCTCTGGGGACACAATGCATAGTGGTAATATAGCGAATGTCTAGCCTGTCCTGATTACTAACAAATCCAGAACAGCGAGAATATTCGCATTTATCTTTGCATCAAGATAAATTGACTTCTCATGTCCAATACATATGGTTTAAATCATTAGCCTCTTACAAATTACTTTCCAATGTGCTTCAAGAACATTCAGGCAAAGAATGAACTTTATTAATTACCAGATACTTAATTCTACAGTTATTTGTTGTACTGGACCTACAGGCCAGGTATCAATTTCAATGTCCTCCTGACAAAAAGATTTTCTTCTGATCAGGACCAAGGTTATTCTAACGAGGATATAAAGCTTTATTGTGCTTATTACATTTTAACATGTTGACATTAGTTTATTAAATATTAAGTAGTAAACAGTCATCTCCCCAATACCATCTAAGTAATGAATTAAGATCAGCTTTTATATTTTTAAAAATGGACTTGGCTTTAATTTTTGTATTTATTCGATGAATTGTCATTACTATGATTGCTTTATTTAACACTATCTTTTAAAACCATTCATGTAGAAGGAAAAGTGAGATAGCAATAATCTAAGAAAATGTTGGCAGTTTGAACCTTTTAGAAGAGCAAATACCAAGTTTAAAGCATTTAACAAAACCTAGCCATATCAGTCCTTGATTCTGTTAGTTAAATTATATTTAAATTTAATCAGTTTGAAATTGATAGATGAAATATCATTGTTCTTTACCAGTTAAAAGTAAAAAACTAAAAAAAAAATCAACACCTTTAACAAGTTTATAACTTTAGCCTGAATGTATTACCTTATATGTATATATAAATATGTACAAATATTTATATTTATCAATTGGCTGACAGGTGCACTGATACTTTACAAAACAAGTCCACCACCGTAGCATGATGTTACTTGATAGTTCTTAAATCACACATATGAATAAGATTATATGATTTTTGCTCTAGAAAACACCATTTTTTATTAGCATGTTGAAGCAGAGTTCTCAGTTCAGTAAAACTGCTAGAGAATCCTAGTGAGTAGACCAGGATAGAGGCAAATCAAATTGAAAAAAACAAATCAGCTGTATCCAGACACCAAGATACTAAATACAACATACATACCTGGGTCAATTATAGCAAGTGTACATACTCTGTAGTACTTCCCACAAGCTGTTCCCAGTTCAATGTTGTTGCCACTATAGTGATGCACACCAGTTTTGGCCAACATAGCATAGTACTCAATTTCTGATTTTCTAAATTAACACAAATAAATACACAGTACTTAAATTATTTGGCTTTGTTTCAGATTAAGTCACATTTTACTTCTACTAAATCTGTTGGGACATTAACAGAACTAATTTTTATTAATTTTATTTATTTATTTATTTATTTATTTAACAAACTTATATAGCCACCCATTTATCAGAAGGAACTCTGGACAGCAAACAAAATAAAAACAAAATACGACTATTTCATTCAATCTCAATTTATTCTGCATTAGTTTTTTATGGGACTAATGCATTACTAAGGTTAGATTAACCCTATTTTAACTTGCAATATAGGTTAGACTATAGATTTGAGGAGTATACTGTTTCTCTCAGCTATTAGTGGAAAACCGTGATGACTGGTTCTGGCAATATTCCATCTATCTAGTAGAAGGGTATAGGAGAATTATACAGGCAATTTTGCGAAACAAGGTCTCATAAAGGCTTTATAAATTGTATGTGCCATAGCATAATTGCTATGCACATGCAGAACACACTCTTTATCAATTCTAACACTCCAATATATTTCCAGTGAACAGATCAACCTCTAGAAGTGTCATAGTGTTCTTCTAGAAAACCCATTGAGAACTTTTAACTTCACATCACCTTATGACACAAACGTCTTTCTGCATTTTTTTTTTTTAAAATCAAGTTAGTAACCTACAACATCACAAAATTACAGGTTGGAAGGGATCAAGTCCAACCTTCTCTCATTGCTGGAATCTAAATTAAATTTCCCCCCAAAATAGATATTCAGCCTCTGGTTGTCTAATGTATTTGAAAAGCTAAATACAGGAGCCAAAAAAGAGCTACATGCCAAGTGTATCTTTTGCATTTGATGGTCAGGACCTTTTATCAATACTGTAACGAAGTAGCCATTTTATTTGACCCTTTAATAAGGCTGCTGTTCAAAAAGTGCAAGCTTACCTCAAAGCAGGACAGTTATTGGCTAGGATGACCAACTTGGCTTTGCCCTGCCGAATCATTTTCAGAGTTTGTTTGTATCCAAGTACGTATTTACCACTTTTCATAACCAGCTGAAGCCTAGAGTTTATGGACTCTAGAGACTTTTTCTGTAAAAATTAAAAAAAAAACACGGATGTACAGATTTTTTTCTGCATCTTATAATGCATAATACATTAAAATGTCTTATCTACTTCCTCCCTGGATACCTGGCTCTATACACTGACCCCATCACAAAATGTCACATTTTATTTAGCATTAATAGTTTGTAAGTTTTTATTACATGTACAATACAGCAAAAATATCTAAAAAGAATCCCAATTAAAACACAATTAAGGTTCTTTAAGTTTTCTCTCAAAAACTCAGTCAAGAGTTATTAGAACACAATTTTATCTTCCAGTCTTAAAAACTAAGTGGTTTGAGAGCAAAAGCTAATTGTGCTTGTAATTCCATTAACAGTTCTTGTTCAATCATCTACCCAAACCACAGCATGTAACTTAAAAAGACAAATCATAACATAATTTACTTAACCAGTAGTGTTAAATCCAAATAGTGGTGCTTCTTTTCATACTAATATGCTTTCAAAAACTAAATTCTTTAAATGTGCCTGTAGACTGAATACATTTATTCAAAAACATGTCACTTTCAGATGTACCAATTTTTTATAAAGCATGCTTGCCACGACATACCTACACTAGTTAAGATTTATGGGTTACTATATATTAAGACATTGTAATGTATCTTTTATCTTTACATTATTATGCAAAGACTGTTAGCAACCCTGCCTCAGTAATATTTAAACAGCTAAAGGGAGGGCTGGTGTGGCCGTGTTCTTGAAGTTTTTTTTCCTAACGTTCCTAACGCTAAAGGGAGGCTATAGCAAAACCCTAGCCACATATATTTCTCACAGCTGCAGCAATGCTTCTATCTCCCATGCAATTCCTGTCCGCACGTGCGCATATAGAACACATTCAGACGCAGCCGGCGTCATGCAAAGCCTATCGCCATCACCCAAGAGAACCAAGCGATCTACAGACTCTTACATGCATCTATATCTCACAGCATCTACCTTTGTTATCTCATATGACAGCCAGCACGGAAACACTAACTATGGCAGAAAGCCCCGAAATGGCTGTGCCTTCAAGGAGGCTGAACAAGGCCCCTCGCCATTCCCGAGATGCCATCAGTGGCTCTCTTCACGTTACCATGAGCAACCCTCCACCCCATTTGACCTGAAATCTGTCGTCGAGAGCGAGGCACAAACAGAGGCCTTCCGCAATATTTGGGATTCCTATTCCCCCCACTAAGCTCTCGCCTCTGCCCTCGGAGTTGGACACAGAAGCCCCAGCTACCCCCTTTATTGTTAGGGCACGGTGCGGCTGACTGGTTGGCTCGCTCACTCACCGTCTTCTTGGCGGCCACCATCTTGCCGGCTCACGTCGGCTCTGCCGTTGCCTGCGCAAAAGAAAGAGAGTCAACACTGCGACCGAGCGCAGCCGTTAGCCACCCGCCCCTCGCGCACCGTGCCCAAAGCCGCCCCACTCCTCCAAAGGCAGAGGCCCACTCACCACAGGAGCGCCTCCAAGATGGCCGGGCAACGAGGAAAAGAAGGAACTCCTCCGCGGCAACGCGCCCAACCACGCGGATCGGCGCCTCAGACAGCGACTCTCGCGAGAGCAGTCACCTAGCCCCTCCCCGTCCGAAAACTCCCGCGGCTTTCCGGCTGGCATTGAGGATGCGCGCGCAATCACCGCGCGACCGGAGGGCGTGATAGACGCAGGAAACCTTTTCATAGGTTTGTGGATCGCACAGGCTCTCTTCCGGCCTACGGTGCGACCTTTCCCCCTCCGGTTGACTGTCTACACCAGTGTTTCTCAACCTTGACAACTTTAAGATGTGTGGACTTCAATTCCCAGAATTCCCTGGCCAGTTGAAGTCCACACATCTTAAACTTGCCAAGGTTGAGAAACACTGGTGTAGACCGTCAACCAGGGAGGAAAAAAGTCATGGTGTCTTTTAGAGACTGAACACTAAAATAGCGCTCCCACTTGGGTGCAGCTTGGTGGCCTTTCACAGAAAAGGAGCGAACTTCACCTACTTTCTTTCCTCTGTGCTGTGCGTAGCTCAGTCAGCCTTTTAGGATCTCGCAGTCAAGGTGATTGGGGAAAGTAAGAAATGCATAATCGGAGAATGTCAGCTTGGCTGTACAAAACTCCTCCGTAAAATTTTAGGCTTTATTGGCATTTCGAACAAAGGTGATATTAGCATTTTAGTGAAGCATCCATGCCTCCTTTTAAAATTTAGGAACCCATGTTCTTCCTTTGAGCCAAAGCCATTTCCTTTGATGTACAAAAACTAGCCCTTTCAGGGACCATCAGTCAAACAACAGGGCTGTATTCTGAAGTCCTTCATTAAAGTTGCAAGTGTTAAAGAAACATACCTGGGTGGAAAAGGAGATGCCACATATTTTAAGGGTATCTATCTTTTCTCATGCCTAACAAAACAAAGCCTTTGTTGCACATCATTGTCTTTTATGGTTTGATTTGTTGCTTTCTGACACATCACATATATCAAATGTATATATCATTTGTGTACTATATAAAGACTTGACTGCCCCCTTAATAAATGCCTTTTGCTTTGCCTGAAGTACTGTACTTCCAATAATATTTGGAATCCTGAATATTTTCAAACAAAAATTGCAACGCTATACAGTCTTACTTGGATCTTATGCATGAGTAGAAGTACATGGGCTTTTGTCTCAGCAGGTGGCACCACCTAGTCGCCTTTGGCCTTGGGAGCACAACAGGACCAGCTTGGTTACGGAGACAATCAGGAAACATCATGTCTCCAGGCTAGGCT